CTGAAGGCCCGCATTAAAATAGGCATATGTAAAAGATGTTGGTCCTACGATCATCAGGAACAGGCATGCAACGGACCAGACAGATCGAACACCTGCCTTAAATTGCGGGAAAGGCCAAAAATTGCGAGCAGGGTGAACACTGCCCCCCCTGCGATAAAATAGGACACAGAGCGGACAGCGGAAAATGCCCAAAATTCAGGAAATCCTTGTCAATAGTGAGGAAACATAGGAACACCAGCATCAGAGATGGCCAACGTATATAACATAGAAACAGAAACAATAGAAACAAAAAATAAAATAATTAAATGCCTTCAGCTAAACCTAAATCGATGCCGAGCAGCACACGACCTCTTACATGAAACTGTCAAAAAAGAGGAAATAGACATTATAATTGGACAGGAACCAAATAAAAAAATGTTCAACGGAAAACCATACTGTGATAAGCAGCCATATTGGCAAAGGTTTTGTATATGTAGAACTAAAGAATTTTAGCGTCATGGCATGTTACTTCTCACCAAACGGTGACGTCGGTAACTACGAGGAGCTCCTGAATAATATGGAAACAAAGATTAGACGCGGCAAGAAAAACATCATCATAGGAGGCGATCTAAACGCCAAGACGCAGATGATTGGCTCGAGGAACACAACCCAAAGGGGATCACTGCTGGAGGACTGGCTGGCAGCAAATCGGCTGACGATCTTAAACACTGGGGACACACCAACCTTCTCAGGAAATGCAGGAAACTCTATTATTGACTTCACAGCAGTATCAATCGGTCTAAGCGCGGCCGATTGGCGAGTTGAGGAAAACACTGAAAACCTAAGCGATCACAACACCATTAGGTTTGATATTGTAAACGTCTCAAAAGAAAGGCACAAAAAAAGAATCCCCAGCGGATGGCGAGTAACGGACAGGACGATGAAAAATTTCAGCGAGGACTGTCCTGGCATGTTCTCTGGTATTAGCAGTTACGACCCAACAAGCATTACAAACAGAATTAGAAAAAAATGCGATAAACACTTCAAGGAAACACGCCCATATAACTATAAACATGCACCAGTTTACTGGTGGAACGAATACATCAGAGCAAAAAGATCCATGTGTATCCATCTTCGAAGGATATTTACAAGGTACAGAAAAAGAAACCACGTAGATGAGGAAGTCCCTGTAATAAAAGAAAACCTTAAGAAAGCCAGGAATGATCTTAAAAACGCGATCAGGAAGAGCAAGGCGGCACACTGGAAGAAACTATGTGATGAGCTGGAAGAGAACATCTGGGGAAAGGCCTATCATATTGTAACAAACAAGTACAAGCTACGTAAAAAAACCCGGATAGACGACGAAGTAGTTGAAAAACAAATTGAGAAACTCTTTCCGAAACACGACCAAATCATATGGACATATTGCGCTGTGAGGCAGGAGGAAGCAGCGCCGCACAGTGGGGCAGGGACCCTCAAAACCTGGCGGAAATTAATTAAATAAAATATTATTTTAAAATACCCACTTTTAGCACGTAAGTAGTCTACTTACTGAGCCACCTTTCGGCAGTATTTAAATGTTTACCCTGATTGCCACAAGAGTGCGCAATATTTGCGATTTGACAGCGCAAGCGTTTTGCTTAATTTATTTTGTTCCTATTTAAAGTGTAATTCTAGGTGCAATTGATTAACAATAATATTTTTTGACAATGGAAGCTTCAACTTCAGGTATGTAACTATATTTCAGTAACTTTTAAATTATTTTAATATTACAGAGACTTAAATAAATAAGTGACATAATTTAATGTAGTAAAATTTAAAAAAAAACTAAAATAACTGTCATTTTATTTGGCTTCCCAAGCATATCAACTATCAATGTATTTTTTTATGTTACCACCGTATCATTGACTTTAGGAAAAACCAAACACTTTTTGCTATTTTTTGCTACTAATTATAACCATTTTTTCCCTAATATTCGATATTATTTGTTAGGTACTATTAATTATTTTGTTTTAGGAACAAATTTAAATACATTAATAATCACAAGAAGAGAACTACTGACTATTATGAAATGTTCTGGCAAAGATAGTTTTAAAAACCAGTATGATTTTTTAGTAAAATAGCTGGAACAGCGCACGGGTTGTGATAATAATAATTTAAATAATTTAAAGCAGAAACTATTAAAATTCAAATATCAGTATAGATTAAAATGGGCAAATGCATGTAGGATCGAAGAAAATTTTCAAAATATTAATAAAGAGTGGCTTAAAACATCACTTTCGTTCCCTCTCTTCACAAAAAATGTACCGCAAAATAAACGCGGTCGGCGGCATACTTCATTTGAGATATGTTCGGACAGAACAAAACGATCTAAAACGAAGGATTTGCGTGATTCCAATTCTACTTCATCATTAGTTTATGCTACTTGTATGAGCTTACGAGCCCAAGGGCAAGTCCAAGCATCAAAAGTTTTAAAAAATATAACCATTAATCCAGAGCATGCTAGACTTTATCAACAAGCTTTCCAAAAATCATTGGAACCACAACAACTGGTTTTGCCCGCTAAAGATGCTCTGGCTGCGCCAAACTTTCCCGCGAGCAATATGATGTAATTAGAAGAAATTCGCCAGAAAAGTTTCCTTCCTACAAAATAGTGCAGGCAGAAAAAAAATTATGCTATCCTATAGATATTTCAGCAACTGAAACTGGTGCTTCTGTTAAATTACAAGCTCTATTAGATCACACTTTAGAGCGATTATGCCAAACATTGTCACACGTCATCATTCAATCTTTTAAAGAATTGAATAAATTATGTTTGATTTCTAAATGGGGGTTTGAGGGGTCTTCAGGACACAGTTCATACAAGCAAGCATTTTATAACCATAAATCAGACGATTCAGCTGCTTTTATAATATGCTTAGTTCCACTCTGTTTAAAAAATGAAGACGTAGTAATATGGCAAAATCCACGTCCCGGATCTACGAGATATTGCCGGCCTATTAAAATCGAATTTAAGAAGGAGTCCACTTGTGTTTCTATTGCAGAATATAATAAAATAGAGGATGAAATAAAGAAGCTGATAAACAGCAATATAACAATTAAGTCTAAACAATTAAAGGTCAATCACAAGTTAATCTGTTCCATGGTGGACGGAAAAGTCTGTAATGCCCTAACAGAAACTACATCTACAATGAAATGTTTTATATGCGGCGCTACTTCTAAACAGTTTAACCAAATAGACAATATGATTGCAAAGGAAATAAAAACAGAAAATTTAAGATTCGGTTTGTCAGTGCTACATGGGTGGATTCGCTTTTTTGAATGTCTGTTGCATTTATCTTATAAACTCCCAATTAAACAATGGCAAGCTCGTGGGCCAAACAACAAGGAAACTGTATCTGAGAATAAAGCTCGTATTCAAAGAGAATTTAAAGAAAAATGTTGTTTAATTGTAGACAAACCTAAACCTGGGTTCGGTAACTCCAATGATGGTAACACCGCCAGGCGTTTTTTTTTTAAATCCAGAACTGTCTGCACTAATAACTAAAATAGATCTTGGAAAATAACTACATATAATATTGATCGTAGTATCTAGTGGATTTGAAATAGATGCAGAAAAATACCGTCTCTTTGCACATGATACGGCTAGATATTTTGTTTCATGTATCCTTGGTACAATATGCCTCCAACATTACACAAGTACCTAATCCAAGGACCGGAAATTATATGCTCAGCACTTTTGCCTATTGGTCAACTAACGGAAGAATCGCAAGAGGCGAGAAATAAGGATTTTAAGAGGTATAGAGAGCAAAATTCTAGAAAATGCAGTCGAGAAAAATCTAATAGGGATATTTTTAATTTTTTTTTAATAAGTTCAGATCCTGTAATCTCTGGTAAACAAAAATACAAAAAGAACAAGCCCCAAAATCTTCCGAAAGAAGCATTAGCCATGTTAAAAGCCCCATCTTTTAATTTTTATTGTGACAAAGAAACAAATGTTATTGATGATAAAGATGATGATGATGAAGATAGTGATGATGATGCTTTAGCGTATTTTTAAGAATATTAGTTTTAAATAATTCTATAAATGTTTCCAATAACATGATAACACATAATTGATTAATTCTTGTTTATTGCAATACTACACGTTCAACACACTTCAAACTCTAATAAAAGTGATTTATAGAGTAACAAAATATTTTAATTTTTACGAAAGCTAATTCTTTAAATAGTTATCATAAATATATTGTTTTAGAAACTTAATTATATTTAATGCCAGCTATGAGGGTTATTTACCCCACTGTGCGCCGTTCAAATATGAAGAACTGGAGCAGGCCATAAATGAAACCAAAATAAAAAAGGCGCCGGGCCCGGATGCTATTACTCCTCAGATCCTACTGGCCTGCGCTAGAGCTAACATGGAAGTATTCCTAGAAATGTACAACAAATGCCTCCAAGATGGAAACTTTACAAAAGCATGGAAGAGCTCAAGACTAGTTTTGATCGAGAAGCCAAAGAAATCCCCAGAAACACAGACAAGTTACAGGCCTATCTGTCTGATAAACACAGCGGGCAAACTTCTGGAAAAGCTCTTAAAAAACAGACTAGAAGTGGAATTGGATAGAAAAAGTTTAATTCATGACAATCAGTACGGGTTCAAAAAAGGCTGGTCAACTTCCTTCATCGTGGTGCGTCCCCCGGGTGGCGGATGGGGTAACGCCTCCCAGATATGGGTGGTAGGAGTGAAATTAAATAGCTCTCGTGGACCAAAAAACACTCACCTGGCCGAAAGTATAAAAGGCGATGGAAGGACACCATTGAAAAAAACCAGGCATGAAGTCCGTAACAGGGTCAATGCTTACGGGACAGGGGATCGGAACCCCAGAACCGGTCGGGAATGGTGGTGGCAGTGCAGGCCCCACCCGATCGTCAACCAGCGACTGTACGGCCCCGGGTGCTTGGCAACAGCTTCTGGGATACCGCAGAGGAGTGATGGAACATTGACTAGAATGCTCACAAAAATGGCAGAAGTCGCGAAGGAGGGAACTAGACGAGGGAGCCTGATAACTCCATGTAACCTTAATGTCTCTACAGAGATAGTAAGATGCAACTCGCTAAACGCAGATAAAAAGCGAAAAAACATGGATACCTCTTTTAGTAGTATTGAAGCGTATAAGATCAAAGAAAGCTCAGAGGTCTTCGTTCTCAGAGAAGCCCTAGGGGAAATAACCAGGTTAGGGAAAACACTGGAGCAGCACATGGAGCAGAACACAATTTGGGAAGTCAGGGAAGTATGTGTAAGACTGAGCAGAAAAGTGGAGATAATTAATAGAAGGATTGTACAGAGCTGGCTAGAAGACCACAGGTATGAAAGAGTCGAAAAAATAATCGATCCCCATAACTGAGATGGAAAAAAAGGAAAAGGAGAAGAAAGGGTCAGCCTTTTTCACTTTGGGATCACTTACAAAGCAAAGAAGTTACTCAGTAACGGAATTGGACGAGAAAAAAGAACGAGAGTCTCCCTGGAACCCGAAAAAATTGTCAAGAAGAATAAATGCCCTATAGCCATGGAACTGGTGGAAACACTAAAGGCTATAGTGGAGTGTACCAAGAACCTAGACAAGGTGGTCGGAGAAAACAGAAACACAAAAACCGAGATCAAGGACATAGTGACAAAACTGAAGAGGAAAACGGAAAACCTAAGTAGAAGCACAATAAAGGAGCGGCTTGAACAACATAAGCACGAACCAATACCTATACCGACCTACGAAGCAGATACGCAGACGGAAGAGGACCAGACGCAAAGTGCACAAAGGGCTACCAAACTGACAAGGGAGTTTGGAACCCAGACGGATCATGAGGGGACGATGGAGGAACCAGATGAGGAGAGGATTAATCTGGACGAATTAAACACCTTCGAAGCCTTCGCAGGAGCGAGGGAATCCAGGTGGAGGCCGTGAAAAGGGCGAAGATAGGGGGGTACGAGACAAGACTCATTGAGAGCTACCTTCCGCATAGGGCCATAATAACACCCCAGGGGGACAAGGTCGGGGAGAACTGTGGGGTGCCGAAGGGCTCAATACTGGGCCCGACCCTTTGGAACGTCTTTTACGACCAGGTGCTGAGGATCCCCAGGAAAGAATAGACCTTGTCGCATATGCAGATGATCTGGCGATAGTGGCGAGGGCAAGGACTGAGGAAAGGCTAGTGGCGAAGGCGGAGCAGGCGGTGTGGACAGTGGTGGAAACGCTGAGGGAAATGGGTGTCAAGGTGGCCGCCAAGAAAACAGAAGTGTTGATCTTGGTGGGCAGAAGAACTCTCACGAAGCTTGAGATGAGGGTACAGGGTCAGGTGGTGGTGGTGGAGCGTCCCCCGGGTGGCGGATTGGGGAACGCCTCCCAGATATGGGTGGTAGGAGTAAAATTAAATAGCTCTCGTGGACCAAAAAACACTCACCTGGCCGAAGGAGATATAGCCAAAATAACAATCTACACGTATCCACGTACGCCCTTCTAGTCGGTAGTAAAGAAAAAACTTTTCTAGAAACCCTAAAATGCGCCAAAGATAAAATAAAAGATAGCACACATATACGTGGACTAAGGAGCACAAGAGACGGAAAACTGCTAATTACAATGGACAAGGACAAAGAGGCTCTAGAAAAAATAGAAACAGCCTTAAAAAACGGAACTGAAAATACAGGCTCAGTCAGAAAGCTTTATGACAAAGAGAAACGTGAATCGATTGGTTGAATGTAAGAATGAATTTTTACATTTTTAATGTTTAAATTCAAATTCCGCCATTTGGAATAATGTATTTCCTTATTTCAATAAAGACGTTTATTATTATTATTATTATTATTATTATTATTATTATTATTATTATTATTATTATTATATAAGGGGGATGGACGCGGATACTGAAATCAAGGACGTAAAATCGGCATTACAGGAAAATGTACCAAACCTGGAAAATAAAGATTACAAGCTGAGCGCGCTAAGGCCAGCCAGGGACAACACCCAAACGGTTACGCTTACCATGAACAAAAAGGACGCAGAGGAACTAATGGCGAAGAAGATGATAAGGATAGGCATGGTAAGGTGTAGGTTAGAAAGAAGACTCAACATAAATAAGTCTTATAAATGCTGGGGCTTTGGGCACACAGGAAATGCTTGTGAAGGGACAGACAGGACAAACTCCTGCCTAAAATGCGGACGGGAAGGACACAGGGCCAGAGACTGCAAGCACACGGAAGGGTGCCCCCTCTGCAAGGAAGAGGGACACAGAGCTGGTAGTGGGCGCTGCTCAGTCTTTCAAAAACACCTGACAAAAATCAGAAAAGACGAGACTCAAAAAAGCAGAAATGGGGGATAAACGTATATGTGTGCTACCTTCTATATCTTTTATTTTATCTTTGGCGCATTTTAGGGTTTCTATAAAAGTTTTTTCTTTACTACCAAATAGAACAAATCAGCGGGGCCAAATCCTGGAAGAATGGTTGGCCGAACTCGATTTGGTAGCAGTAAATGAAGGAAACGTGCCAACCTTCGAAGGAAGCATTGGATCCTCGGTGATAGACTTCACAGCCACAAATGCAGGGTATACAGATAAAATAAAAAAACTGGAGGGTGGACGCAGGTAGTGAAACCCTAAGCGACCACAACAACATCCTTTTTGACATATGCGTAACGATATCAAAGAAACCACCACCGAAAGAAACCAAAATCGGCTGGAAACTTACAAAAAGCTACCTGGAAAATTTCTCCAGAGACTGCCAAAACATGTTTCGCGATATTGAGATAACACCACAAAACGTAGTCCAGTGCATCACCAAAAAATGCAATATGCTTTTTAAAAATGCAGGTACGGCAGACAAAAGCCACAAGCAAGAATAAAATAAAACGAGGAAAGAGTAAATACGGCAAAATAAGCATATAAAAACGCTAAGAAAAGTAAGCGAAGTAAATGGAAGGAGTTATGCGAGGAAAATATATAAGAATTATTGACAACGAAGGAAACATCAGGAAAAATACTCGACATGATGAGGAAAATCATGGTAGAAAAAACTAAGGAAGAGCTAAGAAGGGAACAGGCGGCCGCTTAGAATAAGCACCTGAAGAAATGTCTAACGACGGTTCCAGGGGCTTAAACAGGAGGGGTTTTAGCCGGTAAGAGTCCTACACTACCCGACTTGCTTGAACAACAGAGCCGGGTGTCCATGAGGATTTCCCCTCAACCAAAAAAAAAAGGTTGGGTTGGGTTGGGTTGGGTTGGTTTGGGATAGTTGCCCCATGTGCAGCGAGGCAGGCCACAGGGCAGGAAGTGGAAAATGCCCAGTTTTCCGCCAGTCTCTGTCGCGCGCGAGAAGGCAAAGAGATACCAGGGGGCTAGGCAAACTAGCCACAGTAAGTGGAAACAACCAAGGAACTTAAGATACTGCAGATTAATCTAAACCGAAGCAGAGCAGCTCACGACCTGCTAACTAAATACATCGAATAAGAACAAATAGACGTGGTCATTGGGCAAGAGCCTAATAAAAAACTAGTCAATAGATTTAACTGTGATACTAACTGTGATTGTTTTATTTATTCTAACAATTACCAATCTGTGATAAAAACTGTGATAAAAGAAGGAATTGTGTGTATCGAGTACAAAAACATAGCCATTTGCTCCTGTTACTTCTCACCAAACGGAGATATTCAGGACTTCGAGATGCTCCTGAATAATCTAGAAAAAATAGCCCGGGACACGAAAAAGGGAATCATCATCGGAGGGGACCTAAACGCGAAAACATATATGATCGGGTCAAGCACAGATAACACAAGAGGAACCATGCTCAATGATCTCATTGATGCACAAAATCTGGTGGTCCTAAACACTGGCAATACACCCACATTTGTAGGATCACAAGGAAAGTCGATAATTGACTTCTCCATGGCCTCGGAGGGGACGAGCAGACTCATTAGTGACTGGAAAGTGCTGGAAGATGTGGAAAACCTGAGCGACCACAGATACATAAGATTTACCATAAACTCAAATCGAACAAAGGATCCCGAAGAAGCGGAAAAAGCAGACGCAAGAAGATACAAAATTACCCCGAAGTCCATGGAAAAATTTAGTAGAGATGCAAAGGACATGTTCAGTGGCTCCACCGACACTAAACCCCGAGAAATCATCAAAAAAGTAACAGAACTGTGCAACAAACATTTTAAAAAAACAAACAAAGGAAACCTAAAACCACCAGTATACTGGTGGAACCAGGAAATTGCTAATACGAGAGAAGAATGCAACAGGATCAGAAAACGGAGTAACGGAAGAAATCAAAGCAGCTTGGAATGCGAAGAAAAGAGAACTAAAAAAAATAATAAACCAAAGTAAAAAAACAAAGTGGAAGAAACTCTGCGAAGAACTGGATAACAACATTTGGGGCAAGGCCTATTAAATAGTCACAGGAAAATTCAAGCTGAGGATAAGGAAAACTATAAGCGAGGAGAATACCACAAAGCAGATTCAGAAACTGTTCCCTACAGCACCTATAATAAGGTGGGAAAGGGTAGCACAAAATGAAAACGAGATACCCCTATTCAACGTCGAGGAGCTGGAAGTCGCAAAGAACCAGATAAAATTAAAAAAAAGCCCCAGGCCCCGATGGACTGCTGCCGGAGGTAATGGTAGAGGTAGTCAAAGCAAACAAAAATATCATACTAGACACTTTCAATAAGTGCTTGCTAAGAGGCGAATTCCCTGCAATTTGGAAAACCGCAAAACTGGTCCTAACGGAGAAACCCAAAAAGATCGGAAATGTACAGGAATCATATAGGCCAATCTGTCTTATAAACAGCTTCGGAAAACTCCTGGAGATAATGATAAGAAACAGACTGATAAATGAAATAGAAAGAAAAAATCTTGTACACGCCAAGCAGTTTGGCTTTACTAGAGGCAGATCAACAATTAATGCCCTCCAGGAAGTAATGAACATCAAAGAAAGTATAAAAACCAAAGCATTGAAAAACCAAGGATACTGCCTCATGGTGTTGTTAGATATTGAAAACGCCTTTAATACGGCGCCCTGGGCAGGTATTGTAGAGGCCCTGGAGACAGGAAGAGTGGAGAGATACCTAATAAACATGGTTAAGTCTTACCTGGAGGACAGAGAAATTACTACATCAACAGGAGCAAGGTATGCGGTAACCTGCGGGGTGCCGCAGGGCTCAGTCCTGGGACCAACCTTGTGGAACATATTTTATGATAAGGTACTAAGAACCGAGATGGAACCAGGGGTGCAGCTGATCGCATATGCTGACGACCTGGCCATAATTGCTAGAGCAGCAAATCGAGAGTCACTCCAAGACAAAGCACAATATGCCACAAGTAAAGTAATAAACACCTTAAAAGAAATGGGCCTTAA